TCTCCAAATCCCAGAAATGGATAGATATCTACACCCTTCTTTTGAAAGGTTTGGCTAATTTTTACCTTCAATGTGCTATCTAAGGCTGGAAAAAAATGTCTGTGGGCAATGTATCCCTGGCATAATTCTTTTTTTTTTTAAGGCTTGGATAGCTATTGGCAAAGGGAGAACATGTGGGTGTCCATGCTAAGCACGAACGGTGTATTATAACTGGCAGGCCATATCCTGAACCGTCCCATTGTTTTGGATTAGAATGATTGTTAGTTGATGGTGATGGTGTTCATATAATGACTCTTAGCTTTGTGTACTGTTTCTTCCTCTGTTACTGTGTCCCTAGTTTAGAAAATGTAGAAAATTCCCAAAAGTCTAGGGCTGCCATTCAACTATGAACCCATTCCTAGGATAACTGTTTGTAAGCAATGTTCTCTTGATCAGCCAGTCTTCTGGTCCAGAGATCTTCCCTCCTTGTATCTTCAGTACGTCTGATTCTCAAGATAATTCATTCCAGATACTGTCAGTGTTTCCATACCAATAATGTTAAGCACAGTTGTACTGAAATTGCACTTCATAACTTCCTGGGATCTTAAAGTTATATTTTAATTGAGATTCTCCCATTGGAATATAAATACAATCTGGAGGACTGTGTAGCAACTTCCACATCACATCCACAGTTTTACATCCTATCAGTAAATGTCAGTTTTGTTTATGTAATAAGCCAGTAAAATTATAAGGGCTGGGAGATATATTATTAAAAAAAGGAATCCTAATATGATCTGATGTTGCAGTATTATCAAAAATTGATATTATAAAAGGGTATCATGTTTTTACAACTAGGAGAACATGATTTACTCCTATCTGTTCAGACCTTAAAAATTAAATTTACCAGATGGCATCAAGAAGCAGTGTAAAAGTGTCTGTCATATCTATAGTTACATATTTAAAAAAAAAATCATTTAAGTACTTTAGCTTGAAATCTCCAACATTCAATATAGTATGAATCACTGCTGTGGGGTAAGGGGCGGGCAGAGCATGAAATGGAGGAGAGGGGGAAGGAAAATACAAAGAAGCTTCGTACTTTCCATTGTTGATCACTGAAGAACTAAGAAGAAACTTCTAGTGCCTTGAAAGTTAAATGGAAATAGACCCTATAAAATGCATGGTTAAGAGTATGTAGAAGCACCATTTTCAGTTTCCCAACACAAAATTAGAAGTGCCAGAAGGTTCATCTTTTACCTCTGGCTGACAGCTTTCTATGAAGACCACATTTCAGAGGGTCATTTTAATCAAAATGAAAGACACATCCTATTAAGACAGCTTTGCTGACAAATAATTAAGATGAATTACTAGCATACACTTGTCCCAGCTGCCTTGTTGGTGTCAGTTTGTAGCAGACACGTGAGGGCTTACAGTATATGCTTTACTCTTTAAATGCAATTTACTACCTAGCTCACCACCCTAACTACCTGAGAAGATTTTAATCCTAAACCTGTCACTACACATTATTTTCAGAGGTTCCTTGACACTTTTACATTAAGACAGTTTATAAGTAAAAGCTAACGGGATCTAGGAGTGAAGGATTTATGTTTCATTGTGTGAAACAAACAATTTTTTTTTCAGCCTGCGAGGCACAACTAACCGTGTCTCTTTGTTTGGAAGAGGCATTGATTTAAAATAATAGGTCACTTATGTTGGCATAAAATTATAGTATTAAGCTGCACACAGTTCTAAGTAAATGTCCATTGTGGACAAGAGTCTACGAGAATGGCATATGATTAAGTAGTGTGTCAGATTTTTTTATGCTTCCACGTCATACTTGGTAGGTGGTGTTTTTAAAATTAGATATGTTTAAAGGGGAAAAAAAGTTGATGACCTAAACGTGATTTTTTTTCTGACATGCTACTTAACAGTGGAGGCTGGTGACACCTGGAAGTGGTTAGCCAAATTAACCACACTAAAACATTCTTGCCCTCCTGACAGTTATGAGTAAAGAACTCATAAGCTAACTTGTCTATCCTGGGAAGCTCCTGTTCCTGTTTAATCATTTCACTTCCTTCCCCATTTAAAACTCCATCCTTCATATCAAAAAGTATGTGCTCCTATATAAGGAGGACATGTGACTATTGTGTGTTTTGTGGTCAAAACACTGAGTTAATATTTCAGTCAAATTCCCAAAGCAGAGCCTTTTTAAACCTCAAAACTTACTTGGAAAAGAGAGTTTGCTTGCAAATCCTGATGAAACACAATCCTCCATGTGTCAGTAAAAAAGGAACGTGGGAGCTCCTAAGTTCAGAGAAGTCCCCTCTTGCATAAAGGGAGGGTTCCCTGATCTTGAAAAAAAATTGGAATAGGGGGAAGCCATGCTATTAGGTATCATTTCAAAGAAAAGTAGCTCTATATCATGCATTTATAAGCTGTTTGTGTCCTTGTATCATATTCAATCATTAGGTGAATTCCTGTTGGCAAATAATGCTGTCTCTGGTGTTCAAGTTTCTATATTCAAAACCCTTGAGTAGAGGGCACATGGGCAATTTCCATCAGACAGGCTCTAACAGAACAGCTTTTGAGGGACCCATAATGCTGTTGGGAGGAAAGATGTTCTGTATAGCAGTGTTTGGGGTCCCATGCTATGGATGCTGTGAGATCTGTAGGATTATTCAAGACACTTGGAATTTCCCTTTCCTTACAATGGCTTGACACAGTTTCCCTAGGTCTTTCCTTTCCCTTCTTCATGAGCCCTTCTATGGAAGGGCTTGGTGTAAAAACGTAGAAGTGGGATGATAGAACAAAGAAAGTGGTCTAGTAGCCGTCAGCCATTTAGTGCTAATCCTGGTTCTGATGCAATACAGTTGCCTCGGATACTCAGTTCCCCATCTGTAAAGTGGGAAGATGATCTCTTTTAAGGGCCTCCTTGCATTTAGACTTTGCGGAATGGTGCCTGTGGTTTTGCCAAAATACCACCCCCTGGAAAATGCACTGTATCTGACTCGGGAAGTTGTTCTTATGATTAGTAAGAACTTCCTTCATTTCTACCGGTGATTAACCTTCCAGCCAACCCCCTGGGCCAGGGTTTGTATGGAGAAACTTTTGCTGCCTGTTCCCTTTACCTACATGTTTTTTGTAGATTTCAACATTGACTACGGTACCAACCATGGAGCCAGTGGCTGCTACTGGACCCCTTTGGAAATGGGGTGGAGGGAAGGGAAACCAAAATATAACCTCATAATAGAACTGGCAGTCATTGTTTCATGAGTTTGGAGGGGATCCTCCACAAAAGACTTTCCTTCAGGCTAGCAATAAGGGAAAGTGAGCCTGGGAGGCAGCGTTTAGGAGCCAAGAATGAAGCCTCCCCCCTGGTTAAAGGAAGAAGTGAAATGGGGGAAGGGGCAGAGATTTGATGTGAAAGGTTATATGTGCAAAGTTCTGTTAAAATGACTGACTGAATGTAGGTTGAAAATACCTTTACAGGAATAGCAACAGATGGTCTCTGTCTCTTCCCCTCCTACTCACCCTGTACTCTGAGTATTGCTTTCCTAATAGACTAAAGGTGGAAATGCAGACATCCCACTCCTGTGCCAGGAAAAAAAAAACCTTAAGCATCCAAGCCTACTTTTGAAATAAAGTTTGGAGCAAATGACCTGTACGGGCTGATAACAGTAACTTCAACTACAGTGCTTAGTTCAGGTTTTGCTCTGTTTGACTGCTTTTTACACACCGCTACTCAAACCTGTATGCCAGTACTGAAATGGCCATTAAGTGCTAATGGTGATGTTTCTCTTACTTAGCTCTTATGTGTTTTATCAATAATTACACCATTTCTTATGATTGGACCTCGTATTTATTAAAAATATATGCCTTTTTCTGGACTATGCTTTACTTTTTTTTCACATTCAAGTGACTAAGATGTTTAGTCTGCAGCACACATTGGAGCTGTAGTTACTACTTTCATTACAGCAAGTTGTTATAAGCTTGTATGATTGGAGCTGCAATAGATAAGCATGCAATAATATTTTTACTGTCACCATGATCACCGACTAAGATAAGAGCTTGACATTCTATTTTTGTTCAGGATAGAGGAAAAACAAGGAGGGGAAAATGGGGAGAGAAAAGTGCTTCATGCCATGTAGTGATATGCCAAAAAAACCCCAACCCTTTTCTTAGCTTAAAGCAGGCCTACGTGTACGTCAATGATGACACGCTACTGGGGGGATTTAGTGGTGAAGAGATGTCTGTTAATTTTATTTGCAACAGAGAGCATAAAGCATGCTCATTCAAGATACTTGTTGTATCATTTTTAAATCAAGGCCATCTTTTTCTCAGTGGTAAACGTGAAATGTTTTTAAAGGCCAGACTTAGCATAAAATCTATTGGTTGCTATGGAGACCACTTACCACACAGGACTGCACTCTGTGTTCGACTCTGTGATTTTCTCTATTCAAAGGTTCAGCATTGTCAAAAAACAAATTACTTTTTCAGTTGTTTATCTCAAAGTTCATTATGGAAAAGGCAATAAATAAGATATTTTATTCATGTGTGGATAGGAGCAATATGTGAAGTCACTTGGGCGCTATTCCTTAAAATTCACTATTTTAGAATAATTAGAGCAAAATTGGCTATTGTTAGGAAATAAAATGAGTTTTGATCTTTTTTGTATATATGAATATGAGGCAAAGCAGGTACTTGGAAGTCTGATCCCCCCAAAATTACATGGTAATAAGGCTTTTCACACCTACACAGCACTTAGTGACAAAGCTCTGAAACAGAGAGAGAGATTAAGCCCTGATAGACTAAAACTTTGTGCCTGAGGTGCATTACTTCTCTCCTTATGAAAGGAAATATAGGTTCAGGACCCAGTGATCATTGAATTATTCATGCTATCTTTTGCATCGCACATCTTTCAGGTTTGAAACTGGTAGGGTGGTTGTTAATGGGAGCACAAATCTAACTGGTTACAACAATTCACAGAAACCCTGTACAGCTGCTTCTTTTCAATCTTTTCCTAGTTAGCCTGAATATTTTCTACCAAGACCTACAAGACCCCTGTCCTGCTCACAAGAACCCCTATCCAGGTAAAGGATGGCCGCCTCCCTTTGAGTATATTTGAAGTTGAGTCATTCAGCATCTTGCACGATCAGGCTGTGTGTGAAAATTTATGGAGGTGGGGAAGCCTCTCACATTACCTAAAGGTATTTCTAAGATAAATTGGTGTCAGCAAGTTCTTGCTCATTTTTCTGTAGCATTTTGCTCTAATTCCTAATTAATCAAAGACTGTCTGAGCCTATTTCCTTTCGCCACTTAAGATTCACTCATCTAGACTCCTTGGTGTATTTTACACTCTATTATGCCACACTTGGAGCTGTTGTAACTGTATGGAGCCCTGTTTAGCTTCAGTAGAGTTGTGCTCACTTACATGAGCTGTCTACTCTTGCTCCTATTTCAAATTCAGAGGAAAACTCCCATAGAGTTCAATGATAACAGGTCTCAGCTTGGTTCTGTTATTCTTCCACTTTTTATGAGAATTAGAAAAATGGAAGAAACTTAATGAAAGCATCCAATATTGAATGATTAATGAATAGTCATTTTAAAAAATCGTGGTTGGGTCTGCATATAATTTGCTAGAGCTTGCTTATTTGCAAATCCAATTAGTTGCCAAAAATTATGCCTACAACAAGTTGTGTTTCGGATTACACTTTCATAGCTAAATCACTCTCCCACCCAGAGACCAACTGTACAGTGCAGGGTACTGATCATTAACATGCTGCAAACATGCAATTAAGACAAATCAGAGGGAAACGCATAAAAAATAAAGCATAATTTCATTCTGGCTATTGTCAATCTCTTCAAGAATTATTATGCAGTCAGCTGCCTCCTGTGTTACTCTGTATGTTTTTAGCAGAGTATACACCGTTCCACATTGCATGCAAAGTACCTCAACAGGAACAGTCTTGAACAAGGAATGTGCCAGTTCAAACAATACAGCAGAGCCTTGTTAGGCAAAACTAACAGGTAAATTGTGTTTAGAGTAATAGATAATGGTATCTGACTCAAAACACGGCAGACATATCTTAACCAATAAGTCTCCATTGGCGCACTGAAAATGTCCTATTATTAATAACAATGGAACATGTGCAAAACAAGGTTTTAAGTTTTCTCTGTAGCGGGCTTCTTCTCTCAGCTATCTTGTTAGCGTCTTGTATTTATTTTTTCTTTGGTTCCCAGTTTAGAAGATCCACAATCAGTACTGGCAGATTCTGCCTAGACTTTAATAAAGGGCTGCAGGTGGTTAGTAAAGTCAGTATTTTAGGCTATTGCGTACAGACATGGTCAGCTGTGTTAGTCTGAAGTCAGGTAGAATGTAGGCAGAGTGGTACCTTAGAGACTCATGGTTGAGGGAGGCAACAACCTACTTTGTCAAATGCATCTGAGAAAGATCTCCAAAAGTTCTCTTGTCAGAGAAAGCTGTTGCTTACAAAAGCTCATGCCTTTCTGAACCATTTAGTCTGTAAGGGTGTTTATACTGTAAGGGTGCTCTGGGAGTGGTGGTGGTGGTGGGGGGAGTGCTTTAATTAGAGTGGCTCTAAGCATCCCATGTATCAGTGTCCCTGTGCTGAAAAATGCTGGTGGGAGTGCTTTAACTAAAGCTCATTGAACGAGCTTTTGTTAAATCGCCCCCGCTGCCATTTTCCAGTGTGGGGACACTGATACAGAAGATGCTGGAGTGTCTGCTGGAGCGTGGTAATTACCACACTCCAGCATGTAATTACAGCATGTCAGAGTAGCTTTGCTGCATGTGTGTAGGCACCCTAGTGTGCCACCTTACCCTACCTTCAGCCCATTGTGTAGAAAGTAAATCTTGTCCTGGGGGCAGTTTTAAGGCTAATTGTCTAAATGGATAGGCTGTGTTTCCTAACTAGAACAACACTATAGAATTCTGGTTCTTATCATCAGTTATTTCTAAAATTACTTCTCAACATGAATGTAAGACTACTGAATGGTGTTATACATAGCATGAAAGACCAAAGTCTTTTATCTGCAGAGCAAATGTACCAAGCTTCCTTTATAAAGTTTTGCCAGTTTACCTTAACCTTTATCTAGAGGTGGTGAGAATGTAGTTCAGCCTCCCTGTTCTTTCAATATTTGGTTTCTTTCCTGAGTTTGCCTACTGCAGCCAAGTTCACTTTGTTGTTGGGACAGAGTTTTAGTATAAAGTCAAATACTTGTGAAAGCTTTTAGAGGAAACAATCCTGGTGAGTAACTTGGGTCTTGTCCCTTTTGTGACCTTCCCTGCTAACCTCACTACTTAAGTTAAAAGATCTCTAAGAAATACATAGACTTTGATTTTTGTAAGAAGAGGGATTTTGCATAATGTAAAACAATGGGACACTTCAGCACTAACTTGAAACTGATGATATTAAAAACATGGGAAAATATGAGATACAGAAAAGGACCCAGCATGATTTGGTAAGGAGGCCAACAACAAACTTAGGTTCTGATGTTTACAGATACAGATTGGAGCCAAAAGCTAGGTACAGACATTCAAAAGCCTGAAGTGGAATCAATCTAAGTAACAGTTTTCTGTAAGTGGTGTAGTTTAGATTGGTAGTGAACAGAACACATTTTCACCCTTCGGGGAGCGGGGTAGCAAATTTTAGACCATTTTTTAACCAATCTGCGTGCGTGATTCTGTTATGGGTATAGACCAGTTTCCGAGTATTTATACCAGTAAAAGTGTAATGTCTGTACCTGGCCAAAGTTTGTATCTAGGGCAAGAAATTTGTGCAGATCTAGTAGTAGAAGGGAGAGCATTGCATTTCTATGCACTGACATCTCCAGTCAGTCTTTGAGAAATGCTGATGGATGCCTGAGGAAGCAGTATCCATCTGTTCTTGGCCGAGAATATGTGAACCTGAGAGCTGGGAATAAACTGAAAAATGAAAGTTAGATTTTTAGAGAAGGAGTACCATCCCTGGGAAAACAAAGCATTAGACTCTTGCAGGGAACTCCAGGTGAATGTTGTTCATTGTATTTGGTACTTTGAGAGCATAAGCTGGACACAGTGTCAGAGGGTATCTTGAAGTATCAGAGCATTGAACTGGCACTTTTTATTTAAAGGATTAACTAATCTTATTCAATAAAAACTTCAGCAGCAGAGCAAAAGTTTTTTTTTCATTTAAATGCTTTTTATTGTTCTGATTTGCTACAAAGTACAACAGAAACAAACTTAATAGTAGAACTATACCTACTAGTGACATTATTTATTAATGACTGTAGTAACTGCAGAACTACTAGAAAATGTACTTTCATAGCTGCTAGAAGATACAAAGCATCAATATTTAGACAACATGGTAATACACGTTAAAAATACTTTGAATGATGGCCAAATATACTGTCATTTAAAACAGTGAGTTGGCTGTGTTGGATCTCTTGTTATTGACAAGTAATGAAACTGAGGGGAAGCGAGTGGGACATCAGCGGGCAGTCCTAAGCACTGCCTTTGGGGGCAGAGGGGGGTGCAAAAATAGCAGTGCCTTTGGGGGACAGGGGAAAGAGGAGTGAGATGCCCTGCTATATTCTGTTTATAGACTACTTTTCCTGGGGTGGATAGGGAGTGATTGGAAAAATGTTAACTAAAAATGAATATTGGAAAAATCCTCAGTGTGTTTTTTTTTTTTTTTTCTTTTCTTTTCAAGAGAAATAATGTACTGAGGGATGTAGCTGACCAGTCATAACTATCATTAACCTGGATTAGACAAAACATTTAGTAGTGAACTAGGTGACTTTTAATGTTGGGGCTTTTTGATGTTTCAGTAATAAATTGGCTTGTCAGGATGAAAGAGAGACTTTTTTTCTCTGTGTGGAACAGAGCAACACCTACTAAAATATTTGTCCAAACCAGTAAAATATGCCCAGAGATGTCACGTGTATCACAACTGCATCTTAGAAAGGTTACAAGTGCTATGTAGCTTGATATGGCAATCCCATTTTTAAACCACACGTGGTAATTTTTAGCAGTGCTCCAAGCCACAGCATTCTTGAGACTGCTAGGTTAGCCTTGTCTTCTTGCTGTCACATGAACATTTTAAATAAACACCCAGAAGCTTTAGTGACAATATTTAAAAAAAATAATAAACCCACACACATCCCAAGGTATAAATAGCCAGTACAGGAAATCTTTCATCTCTCAAGTCCACCAGGGAAAGATCAATTGGAGGAACTATAAATGTAACAAAGACAGCACAGGAAAGCACACATTTGCTGCCCATCTTTTTGTGTGGGATTCTCCTTTCTTAATGGAAGGGGTATTTTTTCCCCTCTGTGGCCATGGTACGTGACACTGCCTGGGTTTGGAAAAAAGTAGTGCTCACAGCATGCTCCTAAAATGGTGGGTAGACTTTGGATAAAGTCCAAACTTCCCCACCTTTTGGGAATACTTAAATAACAAATGCAGCAAAATTCAGCTGAAGCTTGACTCCTAGGATTCTTGCCTGTAGGTCCTTTATGTCCTTGCCCCTAGCTCTTTAGGTCTCAGAGAATTTCAGCCTTCTTGTATTAGCTTAAACAGTGCAGTTTAACCAAATGAGTCATGTGGAAATTGAATCCTGCTGAAAAGAGCCCAGGAAGGAAGCAGAGACTTTTGGGGCTTGTACCTGTTAGTGGATGAGTAATAATGAATGTCAGTACCCTTGTGGGAGTAACAAGGGACAAGAGCTCAATTATGGGGATGGAAGATCAAAATGGCAAATATCCTATGAGACCAATTCTGGAAAGATTTCTGGTTCCCTCTCCCCCCATGCACCCCTTTTGTTCTGGAAGTTGGATCTGAATTTGAAACTGCAAGTACATCCAGAATGAAAAGCCTGTATTGCAGTTCTGCTGGGCCAGTCCATCAGACACACACACACACACACGTGTGTGTGTGTGTGTGTGTGTGTGTGTGTATGTGTGTTTACACATGCCTGCAAACACATTTAAGAGTTTTGTTTTAGTTCAGCAGTAATTGCTTACACTGGGAAACTTTCCCTCTCTCTGATTCTCTTCCTCCCTTGCAGTCTTACTGAAGGAATACCTT